CAGTCCTAACATGTTCATTAAGCTTCCTTCATTATGTTTTCTTTTTGTAACACATCACCGAATGTATGTAGGAGGTGTTGCTTGTAGAGACCACAGAGAATAATTACCTTTCAGATGCCTACACCCCCTTCAGCTGTCTGGTGTACTGTCTTTAAGCTTATTGTCTTACTGTTTGGTTCACTCTCACTGCTTAGTGTTACTGCACCTCACACTCGCGCTAAAAGTCAAGTTTGATTTATTGCCAGTTTCATTGCATTAATATTTAAATGCTGTAAGCACGCACGCAAATTGGCTATCTAGGGATGTATTGTATGTACTAAAGGGCAAGAGGATGTTGTATCAAATGGAACATATTGCTAATGATTGAGAGGTTGAGTCCTGCAATGGCATTTTTAATTAGCCTCGATTAGTTGTTGCTTCTGGCCTGTTAATTAAAACTCTTGTTTGGCATCACAAACCCAACACACATGCTTATTTACTTAATATTTCCTGCTATATTTACAGCATCCGCAGCTATTCTCCAGTGTAAAAGCGCTTACTTTGACACATGCAACAGTGGCATTATGTGATAATAAATGGAATCTTGTTTTCTGTGCCCTTTCACACCCTGCACAAGTTAATTATCAGCAAGTTCACACTGTGCCTCGGGCTCTGAGTTCCAGGCTATAATTATAATTGTGTATGAGATTTGACAAAAAAATCTGTGTTGCACTGTCACACACAGGAAAATAACACATGATGTACGATAGGATTTGATCAGCTGTAGCTGGTTTGCAGTAGACTTGGCGATGGAGAGGAAGAGTCAACCGGAGCCATGCTGTTTGCCTTCATGTCTCCCCTCGGGCTGCTCGGGCTCACTGAAGCAAACACAACGATAAAAGTGACTTATGGGGTGTTTAGGAGTCCGCCTGTTGTTCCCCATCAACACAAGATAATAAAAACTGTGTAAATGTAGAGATAAGTAACCTTTAGTTAAGGTGTTTACAGCTCCCACTTACAATGTCAAGACAATGGAACGCTTTAACAAGACTAAAACATTTGTATTCCTCTTAATTTAAAAAAAAAACTTTTGATGTCACTTTCGACAATTTTTACACCACCACATTTATCTAACAGCTATATTTACTGGCCAGATTTATGATTCTACTGTACGTTGTATTATGAAGCCTTAAACTACCCCACAATATATAAAACTGTTCAAATTTGCTCTCAAATGAGCAAAATAGCAAAATCCTACTTACACACACAGATATGTATAATAGTGTAACAGTAGTTACTGCTACTCCGTCCTGCTGCTCTAACAAAAGGTGTATCACTCCACAGCTGATAATAGTCCTAAACAATGTGCTATAACTCCCACCCCAGTCCGTTAAACAAAGAAATGTAGATAAAAGTCCTTGTTAGCCGTATTATAATATGTTACTACTATACTCCTACAGCATGGATACAGTACCTTGTGTCGGTTTGCTTTCCCCTTGTTGTATATAGTGTAACTACAGCTTGCAAAAGCATGTATACTGTCTTTATTTATTCAAATTCTGATTAAGAATAATACAAATAAAATGTAGTACCCAGCTGTTTCAGCCATTTAATCAGGCTTTCTTTTTTTAAATATCCCTTTTAAATCTGTGATTCGTCTAGTTCAGTCGGATTTAACAGATAAGGATAGGGTAGGGTGGTCCAGAAAGATAGACTAACAAGCTTTGGTAAGTTTTTAAGGATGTGGTTGAAAACAAAAACCAGTCACCAGCCTTGTCATTTAAATGTTCCTTCATGTGATCTTCACACTTGCATATTTTCCTGCTTTTAGATTCCCGTCTCTTTTTCTAACTTTAGCGCTCGTTTGAAAAAGTTGCAAAAGTTAGATTGAAAAGAAAGTCTGAGGCAGTCTCTTTCAAAGCCAGCCGTTCACACCTCCTCGTATCCAAGCCGCTCTGGATAATGGCCAATCGGCGCTCTGCTCAGGCAGAGCGTCTTAGATTAGCTGAGAGAGAGTTAGTTAACAGAGGCTCTCTCCATCACTATGTGTGACAGCTACACTGTGATGTATGTTTGGCTGAAGTCAACAGATGGGATAATTCATCACACACAGATATGTAGATGGAGGTGTCACTCGTAATTATTTGATGCTGGTTCAGCAAACTCGCCTGAATAACATCAAGTAATAATTAAATGATGAATAATGAGCCAAGCAACAGCTTATATTTCAATGTGAAAATACTGTGAGTATGCATGATTAGAATTTAAAGGTGGAAGGACTCATTTTTATTTCACTATTAATAATTGATTAATTGTTAAATGTCCGTCACCTCTTCTTTCCTAAACGATGCCCTGTGAAGCTCTGTGGATTATTATGAAGCTTTATAGCTGTGAAACTCAAAGACAAACCAAGCGTGAAAGGTCTGAGGGGAGCTTCAAAATGTGCTTTCACAGGCATACATTTGAATTCAACTTTCTTTTAAGGGCTCAGCCACCAAATAGCTCTGTTAGGATGGGATTGCTGTTGCAATCTCATGATGGCCGGTTCATATTTCCCCACTGCCCAGTCTGATGTCTGGGAGAAAATTGGAGGCAGTCAGCTGTAGCGTTATAGCCACAGTACTCTGAGGCTTTCATCTTTCACAGAATTCGTCAGCTGTAATGAAGACATGACAAACCAAGACTGCTTTTGAGTGAGATATGTGCTGTTTACTCTCAAACACATTTGTCATTTTTACCATTGTATCTGAAAAGCAACTCGAATGACAGCTAATTAGGTAGCACAACCTCTTGATTTGTTATAAAATATGTATTTCAGGGTGTATTCCCTTAAACCTTATAAGTCATATAATAATATACCGTCCCATTGTGTACTTTTGGACAATAGAGGATGGTGAAATCCACCTTAGAATTGCTTTTATATCACTCTTTAAAGCTTTCACTCCCCCTCACACCAGCAGCCTTATTTGCTATTCACAGTATTTATCAGACTGTCTTTGTCTTCAAAGTCCATCGTTGTTCAATGTCTAAGGTTGTAAAAAGGCATAAAGAACGTCTCCTATACTAACTGCCCAACACTAGTTCAAGATAAAATAAATATGGACCAATCAAACTCTGTTGAACCACTAATGGTTTCCTTACTATTGAGAACTGTTGATAGTCAAATAAATAGTATTCATAGCCAATAAGCCACTGTCCTCATCAGACCTATACAAAGAACATTAGAACAGCAAGCTTGTATTGATTCATATTAGTTTGACGCCATAACCATTATAGCGTTGGTTTAATTTACAGTATTTGCACAATTTTAACATAAAGCTGGACTTTTTAAGTTTTCACAGTGACAAGGATCTGCAGCTAAACACACCAACCTGTTATTTCTCATCAGCCACTTCACACCTACCTGTTGTGAAGTCTGTATTCCCGTCATTTAAAAAATACAGTCTGGGATACTGTTGTTTTTTGATTTTTGGGACCTAAATCTGAGTTGGCAGCAAACAGCAGTTGGAACATTGGCAGATGGACTTAAACACACTTCTTATCTGGCTGTACACACTCACAGCAAAAGAGGAAAATAAGAGTTTGCTGTTGGGATCACCTCAGTCCTGCCGTAGCGGCCCCGGGGGAATATCATATTATGAGGTAGCCAGACATAACATCAAAACTGTTGGGCTGAAAGCTCATACCCAGGAACAGGAATGGCCTCTGTCCATTCGAGGAAATTAACTTTTTCTTTGACCCCATTCTGCCACCCTGATTGATTTCAAAGTCCAAACTCACACGGCTGGAAATATAGTGTTCAGGCTTCCAAATGTGTCAAACGTCCCCTGATAGAGATAATGAGCAGATATGTTCACACTCTGCTTTTGATTGTAACAGTGATACGGTGTGTTGGGTTTAATTGTAGTGTGAAATTCTGCATAATTAAAGGGTAATTCATCTACACAAGGCGTAAACCACCAGATGCCATGTAATGAAACCTGTCAGAGTGCATGGTCTCTGTCTCTGTAACTGTCTTTCCATTCAAAGATAAACATATTCAAACTCTATGACATGCTTCTTAAACACTTAATGCCATGCATGATCATTCAAGGGGATCCACATCACGCCAACAGCTTATTCATATTTTATTTTTGCACGACAGCAGACAGCTTAAGCAGAAGAAGTATTTGTACCACACTTTGGAAAAATGTCAATGTGAAAACAAAAACTATACAGGCAGAGAGGTAGTTTCATGAAAAGCAAATGTGTTCCTTAATACTTTGTCATTTATGGCCACTGTGAACATAACGTCATCAAAATAATTAGCTTATAGCCTGGAGTGTCAGCCCTTCTCAGTGCCATCTTGATTCTATGGTCCAGTCAGAGAGCAGAGCAGAGACTGTTGTAGTGATTTTGTCTGCCATAGTAAGAGGGTTAGACCCCCTATATGGGGTCCAAAATAAATCTAAAGGATCATTTATTAATGTATCCCTAATGACTCTCTAATGATTCTGTTGTTAGTGAAATAGTAGATATTAGAGTTTAAGTCTTTCAGGCTTCCAACAATATTCAAAATAAATAATTGACTAAATGTCACTCAGGTTAGGGCTTGTCAACATATTAAGCACATATGAGGAGGGGTCACAGGATCTTTTTCAGGTGAAGGGCTGGAAAACACTGCTCTGTGTGTGTATACAGGGTTATCAACCTGGGCTGAGTAGAGACCCCAGAACTGCAGGGGCCCATTGACCTCTATAAGCTTACTGTGTGCAAACTGATTTTTAACTTTTTCCCCCAAAGATATAAAGGCAACACATTGACATGCTAAAGGGCCTTAGTATTGGCTCAATCACCAGATTTGGAAATAATAGTTTGACATTTTGAGAAATACGCTTCTCTCTTGGTTGAAATCAGAAATTAGCTTAGCATAAATAATTGTTTTTACCATTCATTAATTCCATTAAAAAGCAAAAAAAGCATTGTATTATCCAAAATGTAATCTGAGGCTCCGTCTGGAAAAGGATCCCATGTGTCGAGTTCTAAATTATCTCAGTTTTGTGCTTATGTACTGTATGATGAACATGTTGAAATGATTAGGCCTTTGTTAGTTTAAATCTGTGGCCGACTGATACTGTGGCACAGACATTTATAATAACCTGCAAAGTGAATGGTAGCAGCTAAGGGGTGTTTAGGGGGGCTTTCGAGCTTGTTTTTGCCCTGCGGCCCCAGAGCAGCTAAATCTGGCCATGTGTGCATTTTCTTTTTGATGTATAAACAGCTTGATCAAGAATGAAACGCCTTTAAGCATTTAAGCACACTTCAGTAGGGAAAAAAGGAAAGATGGAGCTCACTATTCAGACTGCTAAAGCCTGTAATGGGATCATAGTAACTTGTAGGAACACACAGCAGGGGGTTGAAGGAGTGCACTGTCATGACTGAATTACAACAGAACAATGAGACTTAACAGTGAGCAACATGTGCTGGCTTCTTCTTTTTTTACCGTTGATAGTTCCTAGTCATTGTCACGGTGGTGCAGCAGTTCCCATCTAAAAGGATTTTGCCCACGACTTGCAGAGGATCTTCTGGAAGGCGCGTCTGAAGTCTCGGTTAAAGATGGTGTAAATAGCCGGGTTAAGGGAGCTGTTACAGTAGCCAATCCAGAAGAAGAATGTAAACAGGGGGTCGGGGATCTTACAGGAGTCCCTGCACACACCGCGCAAGCTGTAACTGAAGAAAAAGGGGAACCAGCACACTACAAACACCCCCATGACCACCGCCAGGACAAATGTAAACCTCTTCTCCCTGGCCTGCGAGACCTTTTTCCTGGCAAAGGAGCTCCGGCGGCGCTTCCTCCTGGAGGTGAAGAGGTCCATGGATTTGTTGCTGACCCTGGCGATGCGACTGCACTGTTTGCTGATTTTCTTTTGGCTGGCCCTCTTGGCTTTCAGGGAGTCCTCCTGCTGCTGGGGCTTGTGACCTTTGCCCTCTGAGGAGGAACTCTCCTCCATGTCCCCATCCTCAGTATGTTGCATGATGGTGACGGTGCGTTGGCTGGGCGTAGGCGGGCACTGACAGTGGCCGTTCTCTCTCTCGCCATGGTAAGGGGAGGTGGCTTTGCTCAGTCCATTTTCAGTTAGTGTCACTCCATCTGGCCTGGGGATTTTCCCAGACATGGTTCTGGTTCTGGTTTTGGCCACCTGGTATATCCTGATGTACACCAGCACCATGATTATGCATGGGGCGAAGAAGGACGCAATGCTGGAGGAGAGGATGTACCAAGTGTCATCATTGAGCTCGCACTGAGGCGGGGAGCTGAGGTCCTTGTTGCTGTCTATAGAGATGAGCGGCGGAGAGGAGATGAAAGCAGATATGAGCCACACGATGATGATGATGCACTTTATGCGTTTGGGAGTCCGCTTCAGGTTGTACTCTACAGCCTGCGTAACGGACCAGTAGCGGTCCAGGCTTATTGCGCACAGATGAACAATAGAAGAAGTGCAGAACAAAACATCCAAAGCCAGATAAATGCCGCACCAAACTTTTCCGAAATACCAGTAGCCCATAAGTTCGTTCGCCAGAGAAAACGGCATCACCAAAGTGGCGACCAGGATGTCCGCGGTGGCCAGAGACACCAGAAACAGGTTCTGTGGGGCTTTCAGCGCCCGGCTCGTCAGCACCGCAATAACCACCAGAATATTCCCAACTACGGTGAACAGAATGAGAAAACTCACAAGAGCCGCAATGCTGGCTATCGCTGCTAGAGAATATCCACTGTCCAGACTCCAGGAGGAATTCAGATGGATCACCGTGAACGCGTCCATTCCGCTGGCGTTAAACGAATCCATCCCGGCTGTGCGCGCCTTATGTATATCCTGGAGTGGCTGAATATTGGCATGAATTCACATTCAGCCTTCTAACAACTGAGGAGTCCATCCAAAACGCGCAGCATCCAATTTACAAATCTGACGACATGGATACGCGCGTATAAAAGATCCTTAACATATTTGAGGGTTAAAAGCAGCCATTTGACCCTATCTCAAAATCACTTACTTCAATTAAATAATAATCTCCCGTTCCCCTTTCATAGTCTTCTCCCTGATGGTGAGGAGTTGAGTGCCGGCCAGCCGCAGCTCTCCTCCCTCAGCATGGTGCGCTCTCGCTCCTAATGATGCCCCATGTGTTGTTCTCATAAAACTCACCCACTGCTGCCCCGCCCCCGCCACACGGCATTATTTTCATATTTTTGGGATATGATAAGGTTAGGGAACAGACTGAATTTTAGCTCAAATGATATCAATTTCTAATGCATCCCAGTTTTTAGATGTAACCCTAAATCTTTCCAAAGGTAATAGCCTAATAAAACACATTTTTTACTACTTTTCTTTACCTCAATTAAATAAAATCTTGAATACTGTAGGATGCTTAACATTGCTGATAACCAAGCATACAGGTTGTCAGGCTATTTGAGGTGAAACTCAGAAATATGTGCACAGAAACCTGAGAGACACATGAAGGATGAGATCTTTGGAGTTTTGGCAGCAGTCTCGTGGGGGGAGAGAGTGAAGGAGGAGAGTCAGAGTGTGATTGGGGTGAGTTGAGGGAAGTTGGAGATGTGAGGTTTGTTGGGTTTTGGCGTTGAGCTCATCAGGGGAGAAGCGGGCTGCTTGTTCAGATGAACCGTAACGTATAGAAGATGGATTGATTTCTCTTCTTACACACCTTCACACGTCAACATGTTTAGGGTTGTTTCTCATTACTCATGCTCCCACACACATATATCTATACTTCCAACCCAACACACTGTGTGTTTAATGTTTCTTTTAGTGCTTTTGTAAAAGCATATGCCCTTCAAGGGGTGGGGAGCTGATTTTAATGGACAGGGACAAACATTATGTGCATTATTTACCTGGTTTCTCCATCTTAAATATTGTTTTATCTCCTATAAAATAGTGAGTTATTGGGGAGGCTTTAAATAATCCTACTTTCCCACTTAGAGCTGTTCTCTATTCTGCACATTACAGCACAGTGTAATGCATGGTTCTGTGATGGAAGTCAAGTAGCTGCCTTTTAGTTGTCGAGAGCTAAAAATGTGGAGAACTCCTCACTCATAGTACAGATTGTTTCATTTCAGCGATGTTTTATAACAGAAAATGTTATAGCGGCAACAATGTTTCACACAATATATATCAACCTGAGGAGAAAAGGCTGAAATAACAAGTGCCTGTGCATAAAGAGTCTTTGAATAAGATAAAGTGTTATCCAATGGATGATCTTGCATGATCCCTGCAAATCACAATAAATAGCGATCATAATTCAAAGATTGTTCCTCAAGGTTATCCACGATTCAATTGTGAATTCTAAGAGATATAATACCTTAAATGGCATCCAGGAAAGTAGTACATTCGGTTAGCCTTATAGGTTTTATGTGAGAAACATGATGTGAAAAGTATAAAAACTGTAACACTGCTCACATTTTCTACATTCAATTATGAATCTCTTTGGAGAATAATCAAGTGTTAATATCCACATAATTAATCTGACAAAAGAAACACTGGCAGCAAACAATCATATTTAGGGTGGGTTTTTAGGCTACATATGTATACTGCTGCTGGTTTATAAAGCATTGAATGGTTTGGGCCCAAAATACATTTCTGACCTCCTGCTACATTATGAACAATCCAGATCTCTCAGGTCTTCAGGGACTGGTCAGCTTTCTGTCCCCAGAGTCAGAACTAAACATGGAGAAGCAGCGTTCAGTTATTATGCTCCAAATATCTGGAACAAACTCCCAGAAACCTGCAGGTCCGCTGCAACTCTTACTACTTTTAAATCCAGGCTGAATACTTTTCTTTTTGCCGCTACTTTGAATTGAACTATTCACATCTTAAACTGCACTGTAACTTTTATTCATGTATTTTTTCTTTTAGTGTTTATTGTATTATCTTTGCTTTTTAACGACTGTTTTTAAATGCCATTTTCTGAATGTCTTTCATTTTTGTAAAGCACTTTGAATGGCCTTGTGTTGAAAGGTGCTATATAAATAAACTTGCCTTGCCTTACATATTATCATCTTTACAATATAATACATAATTTCATCCTCATAAAACTTAGGGCACTTCATAATTTAAATCAAGTCTGAGGCAATGAAATACAGTCACATTAAACATAGAACAAAGTACCAACAAAGTTTATTTTCAAAGCTTTGAGTCACTTTCCTTTCTCAGCAGAATGCTTTAATAGTGTCATTTAAAAAAAGTTTTCTTTATTACTTAATGACCCTGATTCACAGAGCTTTAGATACCTGTGAGAATACTCAAAGGACTGATACAATGCTCAGCTTTCTGTCCTGATTGAATATCAGCTTGAAAGACTCAGTTCTGAGATTGAAAACCATAAAAGGCTCTTTGTCTCCGAGGCCTCGTGAGAACTTTAAGGCTTAAAAGCAATTCAGGACAATTCAGGACTTAAATGTGTCTGGGTTTTTTGCATCATCCTGCAATCTCTTTAAAACTAAGGAGCAGGGCCTGTTTCTCTTGATGTCAGAGGTGTGTACTAATTACAAATAGGGTTAGTATTGACTCTTGGATACCATTGTGCAGCTTTAGTAAACAGTAACACTTCAGTATATTCAGCAGTCTGTTGCAAAGCTAGGTGAAAGCATGAATCATTGTCTTACCTCATCCTGATAGTTTGCCGGCGGTGGAACCATGACCTTTTGGTTGAGCTTGCCTCACTGCAGTATCTTCCATAACATCAGGTCCATGTTCCCTTCATAAATTCAGAGTTGCCATACTGGATTGGAAGCTCTTCTCAATGTATCCAAATTATTGTAAGATGAGTGCAATGTGCCATCACAGACAATTTCAATGTAGTAATTTTCGCACTATAAAGCGCACCTGAATATAAGCCGCAGCAGCTAAATTGAATGATGTGTACATATATAAGCCGCACTGGACTATAAGCCGCAGGTGTTTTAATGTTTAATTACCATATCTAAGAGTTCGTGCACAGAGGGGATTGTCGGGAAAGAGATGGCTGTTTGAGGAAGCTCCCATTTATTAACATTTCAACAAACAAGTTGCATATTTGCATAACGTATTCAAGTGTTACCATTTAGTGCAATAGTAGCTACAGAACATGTACTGTGCTGTGTAAACTGTACTGTATCACATAGCGTTTCAGACACACAAACTTTTCAACTTTCAAACTTAGGAGAGGTTACGTCTTCTTTGTGTTATAAGATAGGACTGGCAGGGTCAGTCAAACCTGGTCGTTATCCTGCGGAGCTCCTGTCCCGGTCCCTTGCGCTCTCTCGGCCCGGTGTCTACAGGGCTAGCCCGAGGATCCCCCGCTAGCATCCCCCGCTAGCAACAGGCCTTCAAAACAATGTTAGAGGCGCTCCTGAAACAGCGTCAAAACGGGTATATTTCCCGGGCTTTAATATACGCTTTGTTTCACTCGTTTGTTGTTTTGCTCCTCCGTGTTTTCAGAGCAAGTCGTCGGAGCTGTAAAAATCCATAGATTAGCCGCACCGTTATATAAGCCGCAGGGTCGAAAAATGTGAAAAAAGTCGCGGTTTATAATCCGAAAATTACGGTAGTTTAAAGAACTAATTGATGGGAAATTGTGTCTGCTTTTAGCCATAATTGCTACTCTTATTCATCTGAAATGTCAGTGTGTGTCACCCCATTAGGAATGCCCTTTTTTTTGTGTTTTTAATATATTTTAGAGGCTTTGTCCGTTGTATCTCGTTTCATAGGTGGATGTTCTGTGTCCTTTTTGGTTAACCTGTTTTGGATACTTCAGACAGAAATGTCTTTTGAACATGAGTAAGAGGGCGAGATCAGATTGAATCAGGACGCATAACTGCACACGTAGCATCTTAGGCCCCGCTCACACGGGACCGTTTGCGTTTATGCACAGTATGCGTATTCAAAAAAGTCTTCCGTTCACATGCATTTGTTTCATTTAACGTGTCTGTTCAAACGAGGCCGCTGGAAACGCTGTAGTACATATGCTGGGACTGTAAGTGGCGCTGTAACTTCCGCCAAAATACACCAAAAGCCGCGAAGAAGAGCAACCCAAGCAGCCCCGCTGCAATGTTGCCATGGCTACCCTTCTGTTTAAGCCCCGAAACTGAAACTGAAACTGAAAGAAACTGAAGCACGTCTCCGTGGAGAGGACGGCTCAGAAAGAGAGAGATATTCTCTACAAACACCGGGTGAGATCCTCCTTTGTCAATATAATGGATCAATGCATGAAATCTGACTCTGTTTATTTTGTTTAAGGAGTATATTGGGCGTTAACAATTCTGGTTTGCCTTTTATAATATTATTTCATTCAAGAACCCCTTGTGCGTTTAATTAACACAGCTATTTTTGATAGTTGCTTCAGCAGTGAGCAGGAGAGGTGGGGCTATCGTTATTTTTTCAGGAAATATTCGTATCGAGGTGATTACACGGACTCGGTTGACCCCCCAGAGCGTTTCGTTTGCAAATCTATCCACCTTGGGACCCGTTATTGTTTGTGGGGTCAGTTTCTATCGGCCTCGTGTAAATAATAGGGCTATACGCACGCGAAACTATGCAGATACAAGCAGTTTTCTCCTCGTGTAAACGGCGCCTTAAAGCTACGGACACTTCAAAGTCTGTTTACAGCCCCCTCTCTTCATGTGAAAACAGTTGTATTAAGGCCCCGCTCACACGGGACCGTTTGCGTTTATGCACAGTATGCGTATTTAAAAAAGTCTTCCGTTCACATGCATTTGTTTCATTTAACGTGTCTGTTCAAACGAGGCCGCTGGAAACGCTGTAGTACATATGCCGGGACTGTAAGTGGCGCTGTA